ACTATTTCCCAGAGTTTCTTTGTGCACGTTCTCAGCCTAAAATGTTGCTCGAAAGGAGATCACTAAGTGGGAAGACCATTTAAACTGAATTTTTTTTTTGTTTTTGCTTTTCACATTTTCACAAAACTCAGTTTTTGACGACATTCTATATAAATATCCCTTTTGAAGCTATGAACGTTTTCTTACACTTTCAGGTGTTAGCAGCAAGCGATAAGATGTTGAAGACAGAGAAAGCATTGATGACAGCCGTTGCCCCGTCCGCAGTGCACACCGACGCAGACGAGACGGAAAAGGACAGAATGCCGCAACGGCAATGTAAAAAATGACTTGGATCAGGTTTTAAGACATTTTGTAGATACTTTGTCCAGTTTTTGTTGGTTCTCTGATTTCTCTTGGTTATGATTTGTACTAAAACAAGGTGCAGGCCATCTGATCCTGTTTCATCTTCGTTTATGTATCGCTGTAATTATCGTTTGTTTCTTATTGTTTTTGTTTGGCAATCAGATGTATTGTTAGATGCAGTGCATGGCTTAAAAAGTTATTGAAAAGGCGGTTCCGCATCTTGCCGCATGTTATATTCATCGATTTGTGGGCGCAAACGCCAGCACTCCCAGCACTTCCACCGATCTCCAGTCAAGCAAATTTGGCCAGAAATTTCTTTTCTTTTTATATATGCTGTTTCCGAGATTTCATACCTCATTATGTAACAGTGAAGATTCACACAAGGTTTGTCGAAAATAAAATAAAAAAGCTCAGTCAAAAGTACTATGTAAGTCATACCTGGACCAAGTTAATTCCTTTCCATGATCATATTTTCTCCGTCGTTGGATCTTCCTTTTCAAATAACGCAAGTAAGTGCAAGCCAACTTTTTCAAGTCATTCTTTTTTTGGTCAAGATTACAAATATAACTGTGACGGAACTTTTCTGCTTTTTTTTTCTTTTGTTCATGGTGTTATCAGTCAATTTCATTCCTTACTTTCACGATTGTCACGAACCGGGCACCTATTGCGCGCCCCGATCAATGAACAGAGGCTGCAAGCCCTTTGCTTTGGACCAGACAGCACTTCCTTCAAACTTCTTTATTTTCTCAATTTTTCGACGAGTTGTCGCGTTTAATTCCGATCGATATTGTCGA